CCCCCCCCACACTCTCATCAAAACCCTCTCCTTCTCCCTCGAAACACTGAATGACTCACCAGCCCTGTTGTGGCTTCCTTCAGACTTTGCCGGGCTAGGAACAGGTCACACTGCAGTTGGAAGCTCTGCAATACACACACACCAAACAGGTTATAGTTCTTGTTCTTCCGCTCTTTAACTAATAAAACATCTCAGATTAATTAGAGACAGTACACATATAATTGTAAATGATTATAAATGTTTAATGCCCCCATCTACACAATTTATAGACAGATGTATGCACCCTTAAAAAAACACATCCCCACTCAGGAATCAAACTCCCATCTTTGGCATGCAACAGCAAAGAACTTCACTGTCACACCACATATGTATCAGTTGATACGTCTCAAGTAAAAGACAACATACAAATAATAGCACATAATAAACATTTTTAAAAAACCACATCAGAGCACCCGCCAACCACCAACCAAAAAAGTATGAGAAAAATGATGACAATGAAATGGAAACAAATGTCCTATCCTAGCAAGTGCTCGTACCTCTTTCTCCGGTGGGGTCAGATTGGTGGTGACGTCCAGTAGGGACAGCAGGAAGCCTTTGTCCAGTTTGAGGTTGAACTCCTGGACTAAGATCTTGGCATATCTGTGGTGGGTTGAAGGGAGGACGGGTGGGGGAAGGAGGAAGGGGTGGGTGGGGAGGTGGAGGGTGTGAATTTACGTTTGAGTTTGAATACAGTAAAATACATCAACACAAAATTTTTTTTAATAGTACAAAATGTATGAAGCAAATTATTAATAATAATAAATGACATTTATATAGCGCTCAACCCCGAATAAAGTACACAGGCTCTGAGCGCTTTACAATACAGTACAACATACAACAGTAACATGAAACGTTGTGTTCTGACTAAAGAAAATTACTCCGAATATTCATCTTATTAATTTAAAAACAGAAACGACTTCAGCTGACATTTGAATGAACTAAAAGATTTGATTTCTCTCAACGTAAATTATTGACACAATAACAGTCATTTTGTGCAGGGAAAAAGCAAGAAAGCAAGATAGACATCTAAAACAACAGGACAGGTTTAAATCAAATATTTCTGTCTTTCTGCTGTGGCGATTTCATCACTATTCCCAGGTTGGCCCTGACAGGCAGGGTTGAAAAATAATATAAAATAATAATAATGTGTCATTGAGGACATGAAACACTAAACTACAATATAACAAATAGAGGCAAGTACACAAGAACCTGACCTGATGGTGTCAATGCCCTGCTCCGGAACCTGCCGCCTCATCAGCCCCATCTCAATGAATGGTTTGGGTCCCATACGTCGCAGAACGTACGATGGGATTGGGGTCGGACACAGGACGGTCGGGAAGTACGCGTCTGGGAGCTGGTTGTCAATCTAGGTCACCAGATTTGAAAAAGATAATTAAAAATTAATGAGTTCAAGTTGGTTTGAATAAAAAAAAAAGCACATGGACATGACATGACAACAGGTTGTCAATCGATGTCATGAGATTTAAAAAAAAATTAATTAATTAATGAGTCCAAGTTGGTTTGAATCCAGAAGAGTAAATTGATATGATAATGGTCATGTAGAGCTGGGGAGCCTCATCCTTGGTCTTCTGGTAGGCAAGATCTAACATCTAGCCTTCTCGGATAAGGGTGAAAAATCTCGGAGGACCCATGTGCAAGTTGCGCACGTTAAAGCTCCCTTGGAAGGCCTAGTCCAACACCAATAAGAGTAGGCTTCAGCCGCCATCAGGGCAAATTCAAAATGAATTCCTAGTCCTACCAAAACTAAAAATGTTTAGGGCGTCCTGCGTTCTCATATGACTTTATGCAGTTGCAAGTGCTGTAAAACACTTATTAAAAAAAAAAAAAAAAAAATTCTCACCTGCAGTGTCTGCACAGACAGATTGACGGCCGTGTGGTGTCGAGAGCTGCGGTACTCACACCAAACTCCCGGGTGGAAGGTCCGGCGCAGGGAGCCCATGAACGGCTTGGTCATCTGCATACCGTTCAGGTCAGCCTGGGAGAAAAAAAATGGAAAAAAATAAAACTAATAAAGAACGAAATAGTTGTATCCCACCTTGTGTGCACTTATCTGAATCTCACAATTTAAATAGCATTCGCTAGAAGATATGAAGTCTATTTAATTAGTGTTTAGTTTTAGTAAGCGTTTTTTGGCACTTGTAAAACAATAAGGTCATATAAGTGCCGAAGATAAGAGTAAAGAGAAGCACATCGAGACTATAATGGTTATTTAGTGGTGGGAAAAAGTAAGACAGAAACTACAGAGGGAAAGTAAAGAGGAAGGACCTACCAGAGGCGCCTTCCAACCACCCGCTCCAAAGATAAGAGGTGTTACAAGAGAGTAACAAACACAAAAAAGAAGGAGGGGAGATGTTTGATAGAAAGGAGAAAACCACACCAGAGCATCCACTTACCACCTGCAGCAAAAGAGTGAAACATTAGCTGGAAATTACTCGTATGAAAACATTTTTAATTTGCACTGTAGATTTCCGTGAAATGATTTAGCTATTTTGGTGACCAAGTCACGAGCACACTACAAACAAAACTTCCAAGTTTTCTTTTCCCCTGCATGGTGGCTTGGCAGCAGGTCAGATGTACTGACCTTATGGGCTGAATCTGGACTACAGGCTGTATTAATTAGGTTTTACTGTAATATATAATAATATTTCCAAAATATTATAAACACAAACTCCTGCATACTTCAATCTGATCGTGCAGGTTCGCGGCAGTGACCTCCCCCTTCCACTGATCCTCCAGCCAGGTGGAGAGCTCCACGCTGAGTGACCTCCACTTGTCCTTGACCTCTACCTCCCAGACGGCCGGGGCCGAGGCGACAGAGAGCAGCGTCACCTCCTGGTACATGGAGTTGATCACAGAGACACACACGCCCTCTAGTGACGCAAACAGGGCCAGTTCCGTCTGCTCTCCTTCGTTGATCTGAAAGAAAGTAGCAAAAAGGAAAAATTAAATATATTACTTTTTGCTTGTTTCATGTTTGTTGGGAGTCAGGAGTAGCATATTGATGACACAATAATGGTGATTTAATACAGGGAAATCATTTGGAACGAGCTTGGAAGGATGGCCAAGGACATAGATAAATGGAAGGAGCTTGTATCCGCCTGTACACAGCCAGGGGTGAAAGGCATTGATGATGATGAATACAAGTAAAGAGTAAGACTGACAAACATAAATGACAGAAGGAAAAAAAAGCTAGGACCCACCAGTGTCACATTTTCTTAGTAAAGACAATCACATTAACACCAAAATGGTTATTTAGCATGGGGTAAGAGCAAAATAGACAGACAGAAACTACCCAGGAAAAGAAAAGAAGTAGGATCTACCAGTGGCACCCTCTAAAGTCAAGAATACTAAAGGTAGAATAAAGAGTAATCTTGCAGGGGTACTTTCCAACTGCTTTTTACTTAGGAACATTATGATTGTTGCAATAAAACCTGACTAATGGCTTTGAAAAACTTTGAAAAACAAGACAAGGCAAAGGAGGAGTGGGTAGAATGGTATGGGGGGGGGGGGGGGGGTGAAAATCTTGACACAGATGTTGGTTAGGAGTTGGGAAATAAATATGTATACAGCATACCCATATCAAAATTAATTTAAAAAAGGCACAGTGACACAATAATAGTCTATTGCGTTGGGAAAAAGCGAGGTGACCCAAACACAGAACATGTGGGTTGGGAAGGACACAGAACCGGCAAAAGACATCCTCCAACCACCAACAACATTGCCACAAAATGCCTACAGAAACGATGGGAGAGTTCAAGAGATTTGTAAGGGTACATCATAACAACTTGTGCATGATAAACAATTTTTACGTGACACTTCTTGAGAAGTTCGTGAGTAGAGCTGACGATATACTTCAGACACTTTCTATCTTTCTCGTTGTCTAAAGACAAAAAAAGAAAATTTACAAAAAACCTGGTCAAACCTTTCAAAATCCTCTCTAACATCTATCTTCCTCATCTCTTTTCCTCCTTTTCTTGGTATGGTATTCTCCAGTATGCCACTAATCTTCTTCACTTGTATGACCTATTTGTATTGCAAATGCGGAAAACTTTAAACTGAAAATTCAAATACCCCCCCCCCTCCCTCCAAATGTAATGCATGTGGGCATTCCATATTTCATGAGTAACATGTTTAATATTTCAAATAACCAAAAATGTAATTCAGCACAATGGTGAAACTGAACTCCTTTTGCAATAAAAAATATACAAATACTCTTCAAAAGTATTTGTCTTATTGGATTTTTACCTTCATTTCCATACAGCCTGAGTTATTTTAAAAGAAAAGGGTATAAGCTTTTCATGTTCTACCTTCATTCAAAGGGATTATGTATAAAGAAGAGGTATGAAATATATACAACATACATACACTAAAATGAACAGTTACTTATCATTCATTATGTTATTAATTTTATTAGCATTGAAACTGTGAAAGGCTGAAATTAACAAATTTAAAAGTTCATTTTAGGAAAGTCTTACTTTATTCTTGTCTTGCTAATGATAACGTCCTGCCAAACAGTTAATGCTTGTTTAATTTCTATTTCCAGTATGTTTTTAAAAAATGTATATTTATATATCATGTTAATTGGTTTTACGTATATTTCATATATGTTCGTTTTATATATATCTTTAGATCTTTTTTCTCAATAGTTCAGGTGGCGACAGACAAAAACACTGGCGGGTCTTGCACATTTTTACTGGTCACCATAGCAACAACACGTAGCATGGGAACCAAGGAGTAACATGAGGAGAGAGAGAGAAAACATTCACAGTAACAATAAACACAATCGTAAAAACGATTCCCAAGTCAAACCAACTATATCTTACTTAAGCTGTGCACAATTCTTTGAAGAATAAAAGAACAAACTGTTAAAGTGACTATTTTAGAAAACTGATTATATAACGATATGAGCTGTGGGAGGTACAAAAAGGAAACATGAAAAAGAGAAAAAAGAGGAGAACAATAAAGTCAGTTCTAGACCCAGAGAACAAAACTACTTGTAAAAAAAAATAATAAAAGACACCCAAAGTAGATATTAAAAAAACCCCACCAGAGAACAAAATTCTTCAAACAGTATGTAGCAATCTTGTGATATGTAATAACAGGCAATACATCAGTACTTAAAAAAATAAAATCGACTTGAAAAAGCCATTGAGCTTCTAATCAAAACTTCATAATATATGAGAGCTTACTGAATGGCTTACTAGCAGATACTGGGTTATAAAGTCAATAAGAGTATACTTTTGAGTAGGGATGGATGTTAGAGCAAATATAATCTTGAGCAGTGATCATTTTTTAGTAGCGTAGCTACTCTTTACAAGTATTATAATAATAAAGCATATCATTATGATAGTGCAAAGCGTTATTCCGTAGGCCTATAAATAGAGCTGGTCTGTACAAGAGATAATATATGGCTATATCACAGAGAACAGAGGTTGTGTATTTATGTTTGATGTACACGTACACGGGTAACAACATACCCAGCCCCAGAGGGTAAATTAAGGAGAGGAGCAACACACACACAAAGAGAGAGAAAAACTCAACACCTATTATATTATGGGAGAGAATAACATGCAATTCTGTCAAAATTTAGTTTTGGTAATTTGGTAAGAGTTTTACAGCACTCTCAACTGTATACGGTCATATTATGAATGAGTGGTCAAAGTTGAAAAGTTCAATTTTGAGCCATCATGACATTATTTGATCTAAAATAATCTCAAAGTAGGGTATTTATGCAGTTGCGAGCGTCGTAAAACCCTCTACTATAATTTAAAAAAAAAAAAAAAAGGGTATTTTTTGCCTTGTTTAGATTTCGACGCCCAATACTATCAAGGCGCAATTGTATATAAAAATAATGGTAAAGAATTAAGCTTGTGCCTCTCTCTCCGAAACCTATTTCAAATATTTTGTAACAGCTATATCGTTTGGAGTTTCTAGAACCAAGAACTGATTCCTCGACAGCTCGGTGAAAGATGGAGCCCTGGCCTTGCAAGATGGTACATCATAAAAACTTTGTCAAAATTTATAGTGAACACAATCCGTAAATCTAAACCTGGGATCAAGCCACCAAACTGTTTACCAAAGCAGAGGAAAACATTCTGGGACAAAAATCTGAGACCACCACATCACAGCGGGTCCACCAAAGCGGACGAAAACACGATGGAGGATTGTCAGACAGCTGGGAGAGAAAGAACACATTCAACAGGGGACGACGAATAGCCTGTAGGAGCCAATACACAACACAACACACCGGAGGTATAAACAAAATCTCTTTTTGGATAACGTGAAACAAGAAAGAAAAAAAAAGAGGAAAATTGGAGAAACTTGTCCTGCTACCATAGCATTCTAACAAAAAGAGTGCCTTAGGATATTGCATAATCTATAATTTAACAAGTTTTGAAGATAATATTTTTATGACATGTACAAAATATGATGACAAAATTTATTTAATTATAATGACACCAATCAATGCTTTTAAAGAAAGAGAAGATAGCAAAGGGTGGTTGTTCCTGAAAGTGTCACACATATATAAATGTAAGAGTGTGCATGTGAACGGGTATGCACACGCGTGCATGTGTAAGAGTGTGTATGTATGTGTTTGCGTGTGTGTGTGTGTTTACATGTTTGTGTGTTTGTGTGTGTGTGTGTGTGTATGTGTTAGCGACTGTGCATGTGTGCATGCGTGTGTATGTGCGTGTGCGTGTCATAGATGGAAAGGTGCACTATTCTTGCTTGTGTGCACTTCTACTCCAAAAGACGCCGGGTTCGAGGGTGAGTCCTATGGAAAGAGATTCTTTCAAAGTAGTGCTCTCTTCCGATGTGCAAATGACGTCTTTAGTAACCTTGCCTTATTTTAGTAAGTGTTTTACGGCACTTGCAACACAATAAGGTCATATAAGTGCCGAAGATAAGAGGTGTTACAAGAGAGTAACAAACACAAAAAAGAAGGGGGAGAGATAAAGACGATAGATGTTTGATAGGAAAGAAGGAGCAAACCACACCAGAGCACCGGCCAACCACCCACTAACCTTGTCTGTAATGGTGTAACACTGTGCACTACGTAATACACCATTGGTTGGTTATTCCATGTCAGCTTTGTACTTACCACTGTAACCCAGTTATAGTAATAATGATAATAGTAATGACAGTAATAGAAGTAACAATAATAGTAATAATAGTTATAGTAATAATAGTTATAGTAATAATAGTAATGGAAGTAATAATAATAGTAATATAATAATAGTAATGATAGTAATAGTAATAATAGTAATAGTTCATCTATTATAAATTGATGATGACCTTCAACATTCAAGAAGGAAGTGAAGTTATAGTAGACCTTCCCAGCTACTGATCCACAGTGAAAAAGGCATTGATGGTGATGATTTGCTGACGTAAGCCAGGCAGGATTTTCTTCCTCAGACATGTCACACTGGTGATTAGAGAGCGCCATAGGAGGGTCCTACGACTTCTTCACTTTTCTTTCCTTTGATGTTTTTGTCTGTTTGTTTTTGCTTTTCCAGAACTAAATGACTGTTTTGGGGGTAACGGGCTCTCTTCATGTAAAACTCAAACAAAGATATGTCACACAGAATCTGTTTACTTAGATCAGTCTGACAGTCTACCTAGATGTATTCGTGTAGATGTGTAAGTGTAAGACCGAATCTGTAAGTTGAGATTGGTTAGATGAAATGTTTACTTAAATATGTCAGACATAATTATGTCTGTCGGATGTCAATTTTTACTCAATATATGTTAGAATATGTCGTATGATCATGTCTGTCAGACAAAATTTGTTCCCCCACGTCTGTCATACCAAATCACAGCCAAACAGGATTTGTATATGATATTATTATTATTTGAAAAATGAAGGGCCTGAAATATTTATCAAGTCTTAAGGGGGGAAAAAAAGCCCTTCAGTATAACATTATGGTAATAAAGATGTTTTTTTTCTTTAGTATAATTAGTAAGAGTTATACAGTATGGTATTTGCAACACAAATATGTCATATAAGTGCTGAAGATTAGATGTGATACTAGAGAGTAATTACTATACAAAGAAAAAGGAGGAGAGATATGGATGATGGAAGTTTGATAGGAAACCACATCACAGCACCTGCCAGCAACCCACTGCAATAAAGAATCTGAACAAGAAGTTAATTAGAGATCTATACAGAATCAGAGATATAGGGCTATAAAAAAAGGGGGGAGTTGAACAGGAGTGATAAAAGCTATCTAATGATTTGAGGGTTATAATGAAAAGCATGAGACGAGCATCCGCCAAACATATAGCACACCAAACCATCAAACATACAAAAAGAGAAAGAAACTAAACCTTTACAAAGATGTAAAAAAGAACCACAGGAAGCCCATGGAGTGCATGTTAGTAAAGGGGAAAAGTTCCAGATCTAATAATGTGGATAAAAAACCAACAGCTTATGATATCGGCAGAAGGCGAGGGCAGTTAGTGGGAGGAAGAGGAAGAGGAGGAGGAGGAGGAGGAGGAGGAGGATAAAAACAGGAGGAAAAGCTCCCATGAAGGCGGAGGTGGGAAGTGTGTCAGTCTACACCGAGGTTCTTCAAAGTTTGAATTCCAACCCGCTAAAGCTAACACAGTTTTGAGCGAAGGTTTGCAGTTTATAAGGATTATAAAGGAAAAGTAAAAGAAACATAATTATTGGTAACTTAAGATTATTAGGTGGGCTCTCTCTTTTCTTTCCCCTTTTCTCTTCTCTCTTTTGTTCTCCCTGTTTCTCTCTAAAGCCTTCATCTGTCATCTTTTATCTTTCTCTTTCTGTCCCTCTTCTTCCTGTTTCCTTTTCACCCATCTGCTTCTCTCTCTCTCTCTCTCTCTCTCTCTCTCTCTCTCTCTCTCTCTCTCTCTCTCTCTCTCTCACATTTTTACTATCTCCTCTCTCTTTGCTCTTAGGTCTTTAAAAAAAAACTTTGTCTCTCTTTCTCCCTCCAGCTTCACTCTTTCTTTTTCACTTTGTCTCTCTTTTCTCCCTGCTACTCTTTCACTCTCTTGCTTCTCTCTCTTCCTCCTTGTCTCTCCATCTTACTCTTTCAATCTGTGCTTCTGAGCGCTACCCATTGAACACAATATTAACACTTTGGAATCTGACCATTGTTCTAGTATAAAAAAACCCCTACAAAAACATTCAAAATTTAAAAAGGTACAAGGAAACAACTATACTAAAATCTCCTTTTTGACAAATGAATTTCTTTACACCAAAATTGCAACCGTGAAGTTTACAGTTCTACCAGGTTGTGCCAAAAACTGATGAAGAACCCTGGTCTACACAGTGAAGAGAAAAAAGTGTGAGGAGCGTGTAGCGTGTATAAGTGGCCACCACCACGGCACACACACACAGAGCGGCCGGCGACAGTTTTACCTGCAGGACACTGCGCTTGCGAGGCAAGTCTACACTCTGTACGTGTCCCTAGGGGGGCAAGGGGAGGTAATAAAGCAACAGGAAATATTCAACCTTTAGCGCACTTGCCACGGCCAGTGTAAAGAATAAACCTTAAAAGTGAACGCACCAC